TGTGTTTTTTGTACACTGACATTCATCAATAGATCCACCATGACTTACCTATTTACTAGAAGCCTATTATCCTTGTATCAAGGGACTGCAACTGCCAATTCTGTTAGCTTTTCATTACATATACGAGGCAAATACTATCAATGCAAAAGTATTATCTATTCACTAAAATGGAATACATTGTAAGGGATACAAAGTATGTCTTTCTAATAAATGGATATTCTGTAGGAGTTCTTCTAGTGCTAATTGTATTTTGGCTCACCTTCAGTTCTTATATGCCTTGTGTTAACTGTTTGTTGGTCTAAGAAAAGACCTGGAAGACAAAAACTGATCTAGCTCTATTAATTTATGAAACCATGCCTATAAAAGAAAATAATGAATTAGCAAGACAAAGCTATACATGCCCAGCAGGGCTTGTGTGTTACAGTGGTTGCTGAATTGCCATATAACAAGTTCAACCCAAGTTTTAATATTACTCATATTTCTATACAACTTGTTTAGAGCCTCGAGAAACATTGTTTTTATCATACTGCAGCCTCCATTCCTTTTCTTTTATATTGGTCATTTACTCCTATTTGGACATTTGCAAATTCACAGACTTCCTCAAAAGTGTCCTTTGTGGTCTTTCTCATAACATACAAGGTCATAAACTTGTCTTTTTGGCCTAAGTACAAAGGATAAAGTAGTAATTACCAAGCTCTGGCTCATACCTTTTAAAGACTATGCATTGATTGACCCTATTTCTCAGTTAAGGAAGACTGGCTGGGTTTCCATCATCTCAGATCTGAGTAAACTGAAAAGAATTGTTCATGCCATTTTCCTTTCCCTTGAACAACCCGAATACACACAGGGCACAGTGATCCAAGCCTGGGGAGATATATATAATTTCTATGGATTACCACTTTGGTTTTTTTAAATGTAACAAACAGTTCAAGTGATTATTGATGAACTTATAAAGTGAGTACCTGAGTAGATAATGATGGGATTCATAATGTATAAGTAGATGACTTTCCATAAATACAGAAGGTGATACCATATAAAAATAAATAACAAATTAGAATGCTACTGGTCTTCAGCAACATTTTTAAAGGAATATCTGCTTGTCCCAAGGTCCAGGCCATGTTACAAAAGATAAACATGAAAAGCAGTGTCAAGTGACTTGACTTCTTTGTGCCTGTTTTCCCACCTACAAACTGGGATTTCCAATACCTGTAATATCTTGAGGCTTCTAAAGTATAAACATGTTTTTATTACATACAGATATTTATATACAACTATTTACAGTAAAGAGGTTTTGCTCCTTCCCTTGCAAGGGTCTTGTGGCTGGCTTGCTCCTTTTCTGCCACCCAGAAGTTTCTCACCCAGAGTTTCAATGGACACCACATTTCCTGGACACTCAGAGTGTCCAGGAGGACTTACTCTATGCCATGATATTTATTCACCATTGTCCTCACAGTTGTTAGTGCTCACTTATTCTATTCTTGCTTAGGGATAAGGCCTTCTTAGCCTCCACCTCCTTTGCTCTCTGCCTTATCCATTTCTGCTTTGTTCAGATATACCTCTCTGTCCAGCTCTGGATTCGATTTCTGCCTTGCTCTGTGCACAGCATCCTCCCACTCTGGGCTTAATCACCACCGTACTCTAGGCCCAGTCTCCACCCTGCTCCAGGCACTGCTGGGACCTCCATACCACCCCAGATAGTTCCATCTGAACTGCCAGTTTGACCAAACAGAAAACCAGGCAGGTGCCTCAACTAAACATACCCAATCCTGGGTAAACTGAACAGACTGGATGACAGAGAGGGGAAAGATGTACAATTGTGGAAGACTTTGGATTTTCATGTTCTTGTCTCTTTTATATATACAGAAATGCAGAGTTTGTCCAGTCATTTGCTAAAACATTTAGCTTGCTTAGGTCTGTTCCTTGTTGATGTGCTTACTAACCACATCAGAATACTAATCAGTAGGGCTATGTGAAGCTTTGGTCACTGATTCAGTTCAGCAGAGATTCGGCCCAATTCAGTGGCTGAATTTTCAGCTCTGAATTGAATCAGGAGACCCTTTAATCTGTCCGAATCAAATCGGAACCCTCCAAATCGATTCAGAGAGACTCAGAAAGATTTGATGATTCAGACATAAACACAGATTTAAATGTTTTTTCTACATATCTCCAGGTACCAGGCAGCTCATGAATGCTGAGATGCTGGGGCGGATGGAGCATCCTATAGGAGTGTAGAGGGGTCCCCAGCGCACTGGGCAGCAGACCCGGAAGTGGATCAGAAGTACTTCTGGTCCACTTCCAGGCTTTGCTGCTGAGGACACAGGGGGCCCCTGCACTCCTGTGGGACTCTCCATCCCCCCCACCATCATAACATTCATGAGCTATACCTGGTACCTCAAGACATGTAGAAAAAACATTTAAAGCTGTGTCTATGGCCGAATCGCTGATTCTCCAAATCAGCACTGAATCTTCAGATTTGGATTCGGCCGCATCGAATTGGGACAGTGATCCAAATCAACAAATCAAATCACTGTCCCCGATTTGGGCTGAATCTGAATTGAATACGGCTTGTTTTGCACACCCCTACTAATCAGATGCCAAGCCTGTTCTCCTAAATTGGTGATATCCAGTACCTACATTATCTTTACTTTCTGAATCTTGTTGTACCATAGTTAACTTGCTTGTTTTAAATCAGTTATCATATCCAGAAATAAGAAACTCAGGAGACAGGGCTTATCACTACTCCAAGCCTACCTAATTCTTCCTAGCCATATATCAGTCCTCTCTTGTTAGTTTCAGTATTGCCTCTGCTGTGCAGACCCAATTTGTGCTCAATCAGTCTCACATTCTGTTTTCAGGAGGCTTTCCTGATTGAATCCTTCCAAGCCTATCTAACAAGGCCAACCCATTCACTGAATATGCAGTGTCCAGACCTTTAACACATAAGGTTATCTGTGTCTGTGTGTGACTTATAGAGGGTCTGCTTCAGCCACAAGGCTGCAGTAAATCAGGCTCAGACAGAAGCATGACAAAGCTGCTGATGTGCCTTCCGTATCAGTCTTCATTGATTGTAATTTACTTTCAGCTACATATAGATTAGTTTTGCTTATTATTTTCTCAAATACATAGCCATCTCTTGCAGTAAGTGATCTTAAGAGACTGACAGTCATGTTAAGTCATATCATCCCTAGCACTCATTAGCAGAGCCTTGTTTAAATTGAAATTTTGCAGTTTTTGTGAAAATCAAAAAATTAAGTGATTTTCACAAGAAATGTGATTTGGGCATGCTCTGATCAGCAGGAGGGAGAGAAGCCAGTGCCACATTGAGGTGGGGAGAGGTGTGCCCTTGGTCAGCACCTTGTTGCATAGCCTTTGGGCTAGACAGTGGCTGCAGTGTGCTGTGGAGGGAGCAGGGCACTAAGGGGCTGTGGTGCTATGGCCCTGCATTGCAGAGGGGCATCAGGCAGCAGAGTCCCTGGGTGGACAGCTGCTAACTTGCAGGGCTGCTCTCCAGCTCAAACCTGGCTGAAGCCAGCTCTCTTCATGTGTCTGCAGTGGGCAGGGCAAGGGGCTCCTCACTCTGCTGCAGAAGCCATCAACCAGCTCCTTCTGCAGCTGCTTCCTCCGGAGCAGGCTGGAGCCTGACTAGGCTTTGTCGTTTCCTCCCTCAGTCCCCACTCCCAACTCCCCCTGCTCACACACATACATACACACTGCACCAGAGCTAAGGGAGAGCTAAGGGAGGGCTTTGCGCTTGATCTCTGTGCTTAAATTCCCATGCGGTAGCCAGTGGGGCCATGACTGCTTGGGTTCTATAGAGCCTCTCCCTTCCCTCCTCTTTCCTCCGCTCGTGACACAAGGACTGTGAAAATGGCACCCCCAGCCATGATCGGGCCATGATATTAGTGAGCTGAACCTGCAATTTACACCAGGCCCTGCCCATAAGGGTGAGCAATGGTTCTTTTCTGAGCTCTGGACAAAGATAACACATATCCCCTAAGAACTGTCTTTTTAAAGTGATTTACAATTGTGACATTTCAAATACTAGGGAAATATTTCCCCATGTCACCTTAATCATTTGACTTAACCCTGATGGGGAAAGATCCCATGCAGGCTGTGAAAGAACAGATTATTCTCCATGCTCAATCCATCTGTGGAATTTTGAGACTGCCAAGATTTTGTGATGAGGAAGTTAGAACTAAATGAGCCTCTAAGGCAGTGGTTCTCAACATTTTCAGAGTCAAGGCACCCCTTGTCAGACTTGGCACCAGTCCATAACTTTTATGAATTCAGTGGCACCCCCTTTCAAAAACTACTTCATTAATTACAAGTCTTATCCCCTTGCAGAGGGGGCAGGTAGTGGGGGTGAGGGAGCAACCAGGCAGGGAGAGCCTAAGCTTGTCCTTATATGTTTATCTCATCACACATGAAGCCTGAGCCTGCCTTTATTGTTTATCTCCCCACACCTTGCTTATCTTCTCATGCTTCCACTGTGCCCTTCAAAGGATTTCATGGCACCCCAGGGTGTCCCAGCACCCTGGTTGAGAATCACCATTCTAAGGCCAAGTCTTTAGTTGGTGTAGATTGGCATAGCTACCTAGCTCTGGGTCTCGGCTTTCCAATAAAGAGGCAATTTTCTTGGCCAAAAGTTTAGGTTTGCCTTAGCCTTTATTCCAGAAAGCCATCACAGAACAAAAAGGTGAGGGTTTTGTCCTAATCACAGTTTCAGGGCCTTCCCAACAGACATCATCCTGCAAACACTTATCTATGTGAATAAATTTAGCCTTTTGACCATTCTTGGGCATAAGATTATTCATGTGCATGTGTTTACAATACCAGAGATCAATGATGCATTCCTGGAGTTTTACATTATGTGTGTTCTATTGTCTCCCAAAAACCCAGACATGGAAGATAATATTTTTCTGCTTATTTTTTCAGGGACTGCATTATGCTCTGCTGTTTGAACAGTGGCACAAGTTTTGTTGCTGGTTTTGCCATCTTTTCTGTCCTTGGTTTTATGGCTTATGAACAAGGGGTACCCATTGCAGAAGTAGCAGAATCAGGTAAATTCCAAAAGCGGATTTAGGACAGTTAATTACCATGTACAACTGTTGATGTCAAAAGAGTTTGTCTGGTTGCTCACTCTCAATACTTATTAAGTTGGCATTGATCTAGATTGCTTTACATATGGTTCAGAAAAATAGTGTTAAATAAGAACCATCTCATTGATTAAAATGACTGGGATATACACATTCTGTTCTTGATACTGTAACTCTGGCAGCGGTACTATTTGCAGCCACATCCACATTTTTGGGATCCTGGGGTGCCAATAGGCCTTGGTCAATTCCCAGTCTGTCTACAGTCTGGGAGCCACCACTCAGTGGAGTGCTCTCCCATGGTTCTCCCCACACCAGACCACACATTAAATGACTATTCACAATAATTTATTATTTACAATAGTAACTGAAAAATTAACAGGTTCACTATTACATAAATAACAAACAAAATATTTTCAGTAAGCTCAATAATAATCTACACTCACAAATAAAATAAAGTACTCATTATATAGGAAAATAATTATGTTAACGACTTTAACAGTCAGGCAACTTGTAACAGGTATATACACCTAATCAGCTAGAACTCCACAGAATCACTGACAACTGCAAAATAATCCCTTGTGTAATGGCTATGGTTGAACACCAGGTGGAGCTGTGCTGGGTCTTCCTCAGAAAAGGTGTTGCAATGCCATCATCTGGTCAGCAGAGGGGGTCCTCTGTCAGGACCTTGGGAGCAGCTGCTCGGGAGACCAGGGGTTCTTTCCCCAGCAGTATTTCCTTGGTGTTTGCAAACAATCACACCATCCCCAAATGCTTCCCTAAAGCAGCTCCCCTGTGTTTGGCACCTGGAGTGCCCCTTTTTGGCTCTGCTTTATTGAGCTCTCTGCTGGAGGTCCCACAAGGCTGTGATTTCCCTTTACTTTCTTTAGCTCTCCTAGAGAACCTTCCCTATCTCCCCCTTTCCCTGATTCCCTCCCAGTGGGTCTCTGCACCCTGGGAACTAAAGTGGGGGTGCAGTTTGCACAAACCCTGCTCCGTTAGCAAAGGATACCAGGTGATCCTGGCCACACAGTAGCTTACAGCTCCTTCGCCCTCTGCAGCAGCTCTCATAGAAACAGTTCAATCACCAGAAACCCCTTCTGGCAGCTCTCCTACAAGCAATTCTCCTACCAGCAGACCCTTGGCAGCTCTCTTAGAAGCAATCCTTCTGGCAGCAGTTCCCAACTCCCTTCTCTCCAGCTTCTTTTTCCCTTTTTCCTGGGCTTCCCACCCTGGAGTTGCAGCTGTCCTACTGCGTGCATGCATTCTGCAGCCTTCAGCTCCAACCTGGTTATCTTGCTGCTATATCTGTGTGCACAGCCTGCTGCAAGTCCATGTCCCAACAGTACAAACACCCTGACTGGCCTTGCAAACCCTGAGATTTCATAGATTTCATAGACATTAGGGCTGGAAGGGACCTCAGAAGATCATCGAGTCCAGCCCCCTGCCCAAAGGGCAGGAAGTCAGCTGGGGTCATAGGATCCCAACAAGATAAGCATCCAGTTTCATCTTGAAGGTGTTCAATGAAGGTGCTTGAACCACCTCCGGTGGCAGGCTATTCCAGACCTTGGGGGCTCGGACAGTAAAGAAATTCTTTCTTATGTCCAGCCTGAAACGATCTTGAAGTAGTTTGTGACCATTCAACCTCGTCATCCCTTGGGGCGCTCTGGTGAACAAACGTTCCCCCAGATACTGGAGGTCACCCCTGATAAACTTGTAGGTGGCCATCAGATCACCCCTGAGCCTGCGCTTTTTCAGGCTAAAGAGCCCCAGGGCTCTCAGCCTGTCATCGTAGGGTCTGCTTCCCTGACCTCTGATCATGTGCGTGGCTCTTCTCTGGACTCTCTCAAGCTTCTCCACATCCTTTTCTAATTGTGGAGCCCAAAACTGGACACAGTACTCCAGCTGCGGCCTCACTAAGGCCAAGTACAGGGGGAGAATGATGTCCCAGGATTTGCTTGACTCTGCTTGCTGAAGAGCTCCTCCTAGAATCTCAGTGTGAGTTTCAGGAATCAAGAGGCACAACTGACATGATCTCCAGAGTGCTCCAGCTTCAGGAAACATGCCAGGTCCAGGTCAGCCTGGATCACCCGCCTGTCTTCTGGTGTGGATGCTTTGCCCCAAAGTTTGGTGTCATCGGTGAACTTCGCCAGTCCGCTTCTGACTCCAGTGTCCACATCATTAATGAAGATGTTGAACAGTATGGGTCCAAGGACACAGCCTTGGGGGACCCCACTGGTCACAGGACACCACGATGAGTGACTTCCATCAATTACTACCCTCTGGGTCCGACCCCGGAGTCAATTTTCCAGCCAGTGGATCGTGGAGGACCCAAGGCGACAATTGGCCAGTTTCTCCAAGAGGCGATCATGGGACACCAGATCGAAGGCTTTTTTGAAGTCAAGATATATGACATCAATCTCTTCTCCCTTGTCCAGGTGATAGGTCACCTGGTCGTAGAAGGAAATGAGATTGGTCAAGCAAGACCTACCCGCAACAAACCCGTGCTGGCTATCCCTTAAGATGTTGACGTCGGCCAGTCCATTAAGGATGGCCTCTTTAATAAACTTTACAATGTATGTAACTTTAATAAACTGAGCAAACCCTTCAGCACCTTTACAATACAATACATTTATGGTCCCGCATTTACATATGAATAATACCAATGCTGTCGTGTGCAAAGCAGCATAATCCATAAAATTAAGGAGCCAGACCCAGAAAAGGATGTGTTTTGCCACAAAACTGTCTACTGAACAGCCAAGGATTTTGTTTGGTGGAGCTGTACAGATGAGATTGTTCTCCACAAACCTTACACATAGGAATTATTCCGATGCTTTTTAAATTAAATGGACCAAATTGTCAGCTGTTTACTTCCTTCAATAAAAGAATAAACTCCACAGTCTTACAGGTAGGAATTATTCAGATGCCTTTTAAATTAAATTGACCATATTGTCAACTGTTTGCTTCCTCCAATAAAAAAAAAACAACTCTACAGTCATCAAAAGGAAAACACACCAGAGCCTCAGTTGATGCCTGGTGATAGGCTAATGGAATGAAAGTACCACTGGAAATTATAGGACCCTGTTAAATGTGAAAGCTCTAATATGCTCAAAGGACTGACACATCCCCATTACCTGCCATGCAATCATGGCAGGACTACAGTAAGACACTTTACCTGGACGGTTTAGACATAGGTGATCCTGCCTGGATTAGATGACCTCATGAGGTTTCTTCCATGATCCTAATAGCTTCTGTGTCAGCCTTGTCAGTTCAGATCTTCCACACCCATTAGAGAAGACTAATAGGCTGTACTAGGGGGACAGTGACAAAGATCAGAGAGCCCCTGCATGGGGACAGACTGCAGCCCCCTCAAGACACTTTGTGCCTGTGTCTCTTTCACACTACAAGGTGTGAGAATGCAGCCTGATCCCTCTTCCTAAGACAGGAAAAAAAAGAACGAGAGTCCCCATCCTGCCCAAGATAAAGTCAAAGGAGAGACCATGTGCATTGTATCAAGGGGGACACAGCCTAAAATTACATTACTGCTGTAAAGGCTATAATACAGGTGGCTCTGCTAGGAAAATCTGACTAGAAAGTGAGGCAGGGGCCTCACTGCTTCAGAAGGTTTAAGAAGTCCCAGATGGCTTTTGGCTTCTCAAAAAGAACACAAGAATACCAGAAAAATGCCCTCATCTCTTCCATGGGAAAGGCAGTGGATGATATTCTGTGTGTCTTTCCCCTCACTGAAGAGCAAAATACAGACTAAAAAAGTGAAAAAGTTTTTTTAATACTCATTTGATAGGTAAACAGAATGTTATATGTGAAAGGGCCAGATTTAATATGCCAGGAACCAGGGGAAACTGCAGGTCACACTCTAGCTGAACATTGCAATTATGAGGTTGGGGTGGGGGAGAAACTCATAAGAGACAGGATTGTTGTGGATATCAGAGACACAAGTTTATCAACACAACTGCCATTAAATCAGAACTCACATGAGTAAAAATCTTAACAAAATTAAGATGCAAGGAACAGTAATATAATTTAGGAGCTAACAGTATATCTAAAACTGCAAATGTCAGATAAAATTCTACATTAGAAATTTGTGGTCATTTTCAAGAAACCAGGTTGTGACAGAATTTTCCCTCTTTTCTCCAATCTAAGTGATACAAGAGTTGATAGTTCTCCTACTGGGATTGCCAGCAATGCAAGGACTCTCTCATGCCCATGGGAAAGTAACTTTGGGCCCTGTTACCAATATAGTTTAAATCTACATGGCCCAACCTGAAGGAATTTAAGAATCAAGATGCTGAACTAAAACTTAAGTAGCAAAAAAAATGTCCATACTGAGTGTAGGGCAAAACCACTACCAGAGCTTCTGCTGAGGGACAATCATTTTAATATTATAAAAACCTTAGTCTGTCTGTCTGTCCCTCCATTTTTCACACTCTGATTGGTTATCTTGGCAGCCAACCACAATGTTTACTGAAACAACCAATCAGGGTGCTCTGCACAGAGAAAAGCGCCACCATGACAGCAGGGACTGAAGGGCCAGAGCAGGGGGAAATGGGCCTGGACCCAGTGGTAGGGGAGGGGGAATGGGGGGAATGGGGCCAAGCGAGAAGTGAGGGCAGGGCCAGATGCAGAGACAGAGGGGGACGGCAGGGACAGTGCCACCATGACTGCTGGCCTCATTCCCCACCCAGCCCCTCAGTCCCCGCTGTCATGGCGGCACTGTCCCCACTGTCCCCCTCTGCCACCAAGGACCACGGCCACAATGGGCGGGGTGAGCCCAGTGCCACTGGCCTCGCCCCCCGGCTCTGGCCCCTCAGTCCCCACTGTCATGGCAGTGCCATCCCCGCTGTGCCCCAGCAGGGCTGAAATGGGATGATGAGGACAGCACCACTGTCCTCACTTGCCTCCCTGGCCCTGCTCCTTGGAGGCAGAGGGGGATGGAGGCAGAGGAAAAT